AGCCCGGGGGCGGAGCCAGGCGCTCACCGGCCACTGGAGCACGGGGGGCGGAGCCAGGCGCTCACGGGTCGCTGGAGTCCGGGGGCGGAGCCAGGCGCTCATGGGTCGCTGGAGCACGGGGGGCGGAGCCAGGCGCTCACGGGCCACTGGAGCACGGGGGGCGGAGCCAGGCGCTCACGGGTCGCTGGAGTCCGGGGGCGGAGCCAGGCGCTCACGGGCCGCTGGAGTCCGGGGGGCGGAGCCAAGCGCTCACCGGCCGCTGGAGTCCAGGGGGCGGAGCCAGGCATTGAGTCAGGCGCGGATGGGAAAGAGGTGTCGTCAGTGTTTTGGTTGCACATGGAAAAGACTGAGTGGACTTGAGCAAACACGGCTTAGACTTGTTGGGCGCAGAGCTGACTAACCTCTTAACTCTGCGTGCCTGAGTTTCTGGTGACATGTAAGCTATGCATAAGGCTGGGAGTGCTGCAGGAAATGTGGAAAAGACAAGTCCTCCATCTTCATGGACACACGAGATTTTACGAAAATACAAGGTCAGAGTGGTGGAAAAGCCAGAATATGCCCCAGAACGAGGTCTCCCGCTTGTGTGGAGTGTTGATACATGTGTCATGGGCTGCACGTGCCTACCCAGCCATCACTCCTGGGTCATGTCGTACACCTGTTGGACCCAGCTGTGTATATCATAAACTACACTGCTGCTCAGTCTCCGTGATGTCACTCTCATACATTGTCTGTAAACAAAGCTAACAGGCATCGAGTGTTTTCCAGAATAGTTATTCCAGTCATTACAAATGATGACTCCATAATTTATTTATTATCATATTGAAGGAAGGAATCGGATTTTAGGATGTATTTGAAAGGGAAAATTAAACACACAGAGAGACAAAGAGAGAGTGAGAGATCTTTCATCCGTTGGCTCACTCCCCACAATAACCGGGGCTGGAGCAGGCTGAAGCCAGCAGCCTGGAACTCCGTCCAGGCCTCCCATATAGGTTCTAGGGGCCCAAGCACTTTGGCCATCTTCTGTTGATTCTCAACTACATTAGCAGAGAGCTGGATCAGAAATGGAGGAACCAGGATTCGAGCAGTACTCACTCATATGGAATGCTAGCATCACAGGCAGAAGATCAGCCCACTGTGCCACAACACCAATCTCTAGTCTCGATTTGGAAGGCTCTATCACATGTTGTACTTTGCTGTGTCGATATAGTATTTCTGAAAGAGTAGCGGGAAAATCATGCCGATATCCAGACATCCTTTTTATATGAAGAAATTATAATTTGGCTCCTGGGCCTGGCACGGTGGCCTAGCGGCTAAAGTCCTCAATTTGCGAGTGCTGGGATCCCACCCTTGTGAGAGACCCGGAAGAACTCCTGGCTCCCAGCTTCAGATCGGCTCAGCTCCAGCCATTGCAGCCACTTGGGGAGTGAATCATCGGATGGAAGATATTCCTCTTTGTCTCTCTTCCTCTCTGTATATCTGACTTTGCAATAAAAAAAAATAAATCTTTAAAAAAAATTGGCTCCTGGGCCCAGAGTGGTGGCCTACTGGCTAAAGTACTCCCCTTGAATGTACCGGAATCCCATATGGTGCCGGTTCTAGTCCCAGCAGCTCCACTTCCCATCCAGCTCCCTGCTTAGGGCCTGGGAAAGCAGTTGAGGATGGCCCAAAGCCTTGGGACTCTGCACCCGTGTTGGAGACCTGGAGGAGATTCCTGGCTCCTGGCTTCGGGTTGGCACAACACTGGCCTTTGCGGTCACTTGGGGAGTAAATCATCGGATGGAAGATCTTCCTCTCTGTCTCTCCTCCTCTCTGTATATCTGACTTAGCAATAAAAATAAATAAATATTTAAAAAAAACTGGCTCCAAAGTGAAGATAACTGAAATTGAACAATCTGCAAAGAATGACAAGGAAACGCTCAAGAATTGATCAAAACTCCTTAGAACTCAGAACTCTGTGGAAAGGCAGAGTTCTGGTTCCCCGCTAGGGCCACAGTTGGCCAGACTAGATTGTATTGAAGTTGAGATGTTGGAGTGCCCTTCTCATGTTCCCCATTTGGTTTGCCATATTGTGATGCACACCTCAGCATTTCCTAGCGTTAAGATCCACTAGGTTTCCATGTTGTCCCCTGTAACAGAAGCTTCTTGCTGGCCTGCCCTGGCTCTTTTTCACGTTATTCATCGTGTTGCTTCTAACCTGAGCCTGTGACTAATGACACTTAAAGCTCCCTGATGCTTTTGTGGACGGGCCCTGTGGAGACACCGCCCCTCTGCTTCTTGCCTTTGTCTTCAGGTTCCGTTTAAAATTCCCATCTTTCATATTTTGGTAGGAGAAGCCTTTAAGTGGAAACGTAATCTGAGTGTTCTGTTTAATATATGGACCCAGCATGAACATTTTGAAGCCAAGTCCTCCCTCTGTAATCTAAGTAGGAAAGTACAGCGGTGTTATTTCAGAAGGAGAATCGGGCAGCTGAAGGACAGCTTTGCAGGGAGTAGGGGCGAGCCAGGTGAAATCAATTTAGCACAACTCGAGCTGCTGGGCTTGCTGTCTTGAACCCCCTGTTCTTTTGAGTCTCTCATCTAAAGCTGTGGTGTGGTCAGAGTCAGCCCTGGGCCTCTAAGCAGAGTGGAATGATGGCAGAGAGTAGACTGCTTTGCGATTTCTTTGTACCAGTCAGGCTGGGTACCATAGAACCTTCTTGAAGCCGTTTCATCGTTGTGTGTACTGACAGGTTCTTCAAAGCGTAGCACATGCCTACATGTAAGGGCCCCCAAGGCGCCAGCCTCCATGTGGGGGACAGCCTTCTCTCCCTGTGACCAGGGACTCTAACTTGCCAGCTGGAAATGATGGTTCCTGCCTGATGGTTTTAAGATTAGGGAGAAAGGTGTACAAACCAAACACTATGATCAAAATCTTTAGGTTTCTACCGGTTATTTTGTTCTTCTTAGTTGGCTTAAAGCATTTTACATCTGGTAAGAGCATTAGAAAGATAACTGAACATGAAATTGATGACATCAGCATGGAGGCCATCGCGGGAGGAGGGTTGTTCAGTGACCATTTCTGGAATACGTTTAAGGAAAGAGCCATAATGCCTATGCATGTGTCAGATAGCTCTTTGTTCCCTGGGCTGTGGACACACTGAGTTCAATACTCTAGGACCTTCTAGCTCTACCCTCCCCCCCCTTTTAAGATTTATTTCTTCTCACTGGAAAAAGACGGATTCACATAGAGAAGGAGAGACAGAGGAAGATCATCTGTCCAATGGTTCACTTCCCAAGTGGCTGCAAGAGCCAGACTTGATTCAGTCCAAAGCCAGGAGACCGGAGCTTCTTCTGGGTCTCCCATGTGGTGCAGGGTCCCAAGGCTTTGTCATCACTATTGCTTTCCTGGGCCACAAGCAGGGAGCTGGATGGGAAGTGGGGCAGCCAGGATTCAGCTGGGGCTCAGCCAGCGATTCCCCCAACTAAACCACTGCACTCAGAGCTCCAACTGTCAGGGGAATTACAGGATCTGTGGTCTGAACATGGCGTGCATGTAGCAGAGCTGGTCCTACTCAGTGGCTTGGATGGAGGGGTGGACGGCATGCCCAGATGCACATGCAGGATCGGACAGTGCACTGGAGCCTGCAGAGGACATCTGGTACTGTGGCAGGGGAAGGAGGGCAGGGCACAGCGAATATCTGGGCGAATGGAGACTCTAAGGCGGACCGTGTCAGCCAACAGACCTTGGGAGAATTTCTTCATCATTGGAGCGGCGAGATTGACAGCATTTCAGAATTAGCAAAATCACCTAAGCAGAACGCTCGGTGTGTGCTCCACACCGGGGACCCTGGGATGACATCAGGTGGCTGTTCCCCATCCCCGCATCTTGATGCACTCCCTTCCCCTGACACATGAAGAAGAAAGAAGAAAATATGCAAACAATGGCCTCATCTACTTTCTCCTAACTTTGGACCCATACTGCCCTAATGAACTATGTGATCATCAACAAGAATATTAAAAATATATATCTTTATTTGTTTTCACTGGAAAGACAGGTTCACATAGAGAAGGAGAGACAGAGATCTTCCCTCCGCTGGTTCACTTCCTAAATGGCCGCAATGGCCAAAGCTGAGCTGATCAGAAGCTAGGAGTTTCCTCCGGGTCTCCCACACAGGTGCAAGATCCCAAGACTTTGGGCCATTCTCTACTGCTTCCCCAGGCCACAAGCTGGGAGCTGGATGGGAAGTGGGGCAGCTGGGACACGAACCAGCACCCACATGGAATCCTGGGCTTGCAGTGGGAGGATTAGCCAATTAAGCCATAGCACTGGGCCCTCTACCTCACCTCTCTCCTGGGCTTTTCCCTACCTTTCCTGGCACAGCCACTGTGCCGGGCGACCCAGGTCCCAGCCCTCCCCTCCCGTCTTAGAGAAGCCCTGGTCTGGGTGAGCTCCCTCAAGTTATCGTCTTTTGCTCTTCAGCTGTCTCCTTCATGAAACTTGCCATAGCTGCAGTCCTGTGATTATTTCGTGTTGGGTGTCTGCCTTCTAGCCCAAGGGGGACACACTATCATTTACGTATTGCAGTCTAATCACAAGCAGACAAGGAAGTCAAAGCCATGTTTTAGAAATCTGCATTCTGTAGCAGTGTGTGATCTCAGAGCCATAGGGCTCACATCTGACCAACTTATTGCTGGCTCGCCCTTAACCTGGAATGGTGAGCATGCTTTCTGCGTGCTGTGAATGAATGAATGATGAGTCAATGATGGGATGAATGAATGACTAGTACACACATTTGTGCAGATTGTAGCCCCTATTTGCTGGATGATAACACTCCTTTGTAAGCCTTTTGTAAGGTAGCTGAATCTTTCAGACAAATGTGATACTTAGTATCTGCATTGCTGTCGGGCCCCCATTACTCTGTATTTCTCCTTGAAGGAGCTTGTATTCTGAAGCAAATGCATTGCTTCTCACTTGGTCTGGAAGAGTATGATTGCATTGACATGGCTTTATCTTCCCACAGCTCCTGCAGAAGAATGGCCAGCTGTCCACCCTCAATGGCATAGCGGAGCAAGGCGAGCTCAACCTGCAGGAGGGAGACCTGAGTGGCCAGGAGGAAGCAGAAGTCATCCTCCCTGAGGGTAAGCCCCCTTCCTGCCTCTGGGCTGGTGGGCAAACAGCACTTATAATGAACTGTGGAGAACTCGGGTTCTCACGGGGTGTCACAGACAATGCACTGCCCCACTCGCCACTGGCACGTGAGCTTCACAACCTGAATGTGCAGTTGGTTCCAACGGGCAGTATTTATCTGAGAAGCTAGGTGGCCAGGGTCCTTAGCTCTTAACCTGTGGTTCCTGATCTGAGACATGTTTCCCTGGAACATAATGTCTTTTGCTGTTGTTGCCACCGTGTCCTTGCTGGGACCCAGTGCTGGATGGGAATGCTTGCTGGGAAGGCAGAAGTGGTAATCACTGTCAGAGTCGGTATCTCTCACTCGGAGGAAGCCTGCACTGCTTGCATGGATCTTTCAGGGACACTCTGCAAGGTGCACACCCCTCACCGTGAACTCTGAAGTGTTGTGTGTCTTTGAGTCCCGATACCCCAGAAGGGAGGTTATTGGAGAATGAGTCACTTGCCTTGTTCTGCTCTTTGATTTTAGTCTGTGTTGGTTGAGGTCCAAATGGAGCCATGGCCAGCAGGTCTCTGGTGAAAAATGAAAGGCTGCATGCTGAAGAAGAACTGCCCTATACAGTACATTCTCATTTCTTCATTCTGTTTAATCGGGAGATAATTAATCACCTCTTTTGAAGATACATAAAATGATGACTTGGCACGTGTGACATGCGTAAGACAGATAAATGGAAGTGAGAGTCCTGCGGAAGGAGATTGGATGTTGCCTGGGTTACATGAGGTTCTTCCAACATGTGGAACCTGTTTCTCTTCTTGTTCGATGCCCCCACAGAGCCGCGTCAAGCAGGGAGCTGCTTTTGAAGTTGGTGGGAATACTGCTCTTTCCACAGCACCACAGGCACAACATAAAGGCAAGAATACAAGCCTCACAGACGGGGTATTTGCGTGACCTTGTGGGAGAATTTCACATCATTTCTCCCCAAATAATTGGAATGGACCCAATTCAAACTTCCAATGCTGTGCCTTTTCTGAGATGAACGTTTGAATCAAATCAAGCCACAACAATCTTTGTGTTCACTGTGGCCAAATCACCACGTGAGGAGCTTCAGAAAAGATGGAGAAAGATGACAAATGGGTCTTCTACTTGTGGTGCTTACCAGGTCTCTGGAAGGGTGCATCAAATAAAAAAAAACAAAGAAAGAAAGAAAGAAAAATTAGGGCTTAGACAAGCCCACAGGGGGATAACCTAACAAATTTTGCAAAAAATGAGAACTGTTCTGAGATTAGAGGGTGGGGTCAAATCCAGGCCTAGAGTAGGGCATGTTGGATGTACATGCGTCAGGACAAGGGATGCCCTCCGAAGTGTGGGGGACAGGAGCAGCCAGGGATTCAAGGGCTTTCGTGCGGGGGCTGGGAACTGTGTCTCTGTGCACTGGCACCTTGGAGAACCTGCACGTGGGTTAGCAGAGTCCACCACGGTAAGCCTGTGAGTCTCCAGGCTGCTGTGCGGGAACAGCCGAGTCCCAGCAAAGAGTTTTTAATTGCAGGGTGCAGAGTGAAAGGGCCGAAAGGAACACTGGGCAGGCGGGACAGGAGGGTTCTAAAAACAGGGTATGATTTAGAAAGCTTTCAGAGGACACTGGGAGACCCCTGGAATGGGCCACCCAGGGAGGACTGGAGTCACAGGCTCCTTATCTAAGTTGGCTGATGTGCTGGGTGGATAAGAGCGAGGGATGGGCAGGAACATGTTTCCATCTGATCCCAGATAGCCTGTTTACCGGGGTCTGCTGGCTCTCTTCCTCTGCGCCAGACACGATTCTTTTACATTTTAGCCACAGAAGTAAACACTGATTTTTTGAGAAAGTGATTCTGGCCCCACCCTATGACTCTGTCTTTGTCTTCCTCCGAGCTGACCCAGGCTTTTAACCATGATTGACCTTGGGTGTCTGAGAAAATAACCTACAGTCCCACGCAGGAAGAGTGGTAACTAATCCACTTTGTTCTTTAGAAGGACAAGAAAAAGCTTTGTCCCCAAGGAAGGGTACAGCTAGATGTCCCTCTGTCCCCAGAGGTTTTTCATGTTGTTTGTTCTAAAATTTACTTTTAAAAAAATCTGTTTGAAAGGCAGAGCGACAGGGAGAGAGAACAAGAGAAAGATCTGTTGCTTTACTCTCCAAATGGCCACAAGGGCCAGGGCTGGGCCAGACCAAAGCCAGGAGCCTGGAACTCTGTGTGGGTCTCCCACGTAGGTGGCAGGGGACCAAGCACACTTGGTTGGGGATGGGGGCGGGGGGACCATTTTCTGTATTTTCTCAGGCACATTAGCAGGGAGCTGGGTTGGAATAAGAGTAGCCAGCGTTCATACACACGCTGATATGGCATGCCCAGGTTGCAGGTGGAGGCTGACCCTGCTGGGCACGATGCCAACCCCACACCAGTGGCGCTTCTGGAGAGCTTGTTTTTGGGCGGCTGTTGTGTTGGCTTGTCGGAGCATCTGAGGCAACACACTCCTCTTGCTTTTTTCTCTTTGTGTTGTCTGCCAGGCAATGTAAACAGAGACGAGAGTCTCCTTGTTGAATTATTTAACAGCATTTTTTTTCATGCTTTTTCTGACTTTAGTGATAGGCTGCCTATGACCAGAGTTCATGGGTACTTTCACGAACCAGAATTGTACACAGAAGTCTATCAGAAACAAGACAACATTTGTCGTGTGAATACTTCAGTGTAGGAATTGGGCCATGTTGCTTTGGCCTTCAGTCAAGAGCAGGCCTGCCCCTCTGGTCTCTAGGAGGACAGTGGCACTTAATCCTGGTAAGTAACAGCGTCAGTGGGCATTCTGTTGGAGAGTTCTAATTCTGAGTGGCAGAGCTATTTACACAAAGCCAGGAGGGAACTTTTTTTCCCCAACTGTTTCACTCATTCTGAAACCAGAACTGCAAGGAATTCAGAGTTGGTCCTCTCATCTGTGCAAGGTTCTCAAATCCTTGTAGACTTTGGTAAGCAACAGAAAGAGGGGACTGGCTGCTAACTATTTTCTCAACTGAAAAGCAGAGCCAGAGAGGAGGGTTTAGGCTGGCCTCGGAGAGGATGTTATTTGGGGGCCATCTTGACGTGCACATGAGAGGCAGCACTTGGAAAGTTGCCATCGGCAGTAACAGCCTCCCACAAAGGCATCAGTTCGAGTCCTGGCTACTCCACTTCTGATCCAGGTCTCTGCTAATTCGCCTGGGAAAGCAGTGAAAGATGGCCAAACGCTTGGGCCCCTGCACCCCCTGGGAGACCCAGGGAAAGCTCCTGGCTCCCGGCTTCATCCTGGCCCAGCTCTGGCCATTGCAGCCATTTGGGAAGTGAAGTAGTAGACATGAGATAGTTACCTTTCTGTAAATCTGCCTTTCAAATAACAAAAACACAGTTTTTTAACGTATACAATCTGGCAGAAGACAAATCTTTATTTGCAATGGGGAAAAGAGGGACATTGTCACAAATTACTTTAGCCTTGGAAATACAGTCTCTTCTGAGTTCTCTTTAAGTGACTTAGCAATTTTTGAAAAATGTTAATATAGAAAGGCAGCCTGGTTCCCTCTCCCCAACGGGACAGTTTTGTCATGCCTCATCACTCCCAGCATTCATAGGGGCTGCACAGGTGACACTGGTTTGTGGCAAATCTACCATCTGATAAAAACAAGCAAACAAATAAACAAAGTTCCCTCCAACAAAATTATCAGTTTTTTAAAAAAATATATATTTATTTATTTATTTGAAAGAGAGAGGAAGAGAGAGATCTTCCATTTGCTTCTTGATTTCCACAAATGGCTGCAGCCGCCGGGGTGGTCCCAAGCTAAAGGCAGAGCCTGGAATTGCATCTGGGCCTCCCAGTGAGCAGCAGGGGGACAAGTACCTGGACTGTCTTTCACTTGATAATATGCTTTTCCAGGCATATTATCAGGGCACTGGATCAGAAAGAGAGCAGCAAGGATTTGCACCCCAGGTTCTGCCATGGGAGCCAACATCACAAGCAGCAGTTTCAACTTGTGTGCCACACGCCAGTCCTTATTACACGTTTTATGGTCTCTGGGTTCTGTGGTTTTCTGTACATTAAACACCCGAACAAGAATGATTTTATAACAATACATAGGGGCCAGTAACCCCGTCGCCTGTGACACCAGCATCCCATATGGGTGCAGGCTTGTACCCTTGCTGCTCTGCTTCCACTCCAGCGCTCTGATAATGTACTTGGGAAAGTAGCAGAAGATGGCCTTGGTGTTTGGACCCTTACCCAGAGGAAACTCCAGGCTCTTGGCTTTGGATTAGCCCAGCGCTGGCCATTGTGCCATCTGGGGAGAGAACCAACGAATGGAAGCTCTCCGATTCTTCTCCTGCTCTTTTCTCTCTGGAACTCTGATTTTCCAAATAAATAAGTACATTTTTAAAAGGCATCGTGTCCACGTTTGAGATCAATTTTTTAATTAAATCATATGTCAATTACAGGAACTTTTAGATTTCAAAAAGAAACTCAGTTATCCAATAGGCAGACGTGTGTGTGTGTGTGTGTGTGTGTGTGTGTGTGTGTGTGTGTGTGTGTGTGTGTTTGGCCAGATTTTAGAAAATCAATATGCCTAAATTGAAAAACTTAGCACCTTGCTTGTTTTGATAACGATGCAATCAGTCATCAAAGAGAGTGTCTGCAGGATTCAGGATTCATTGGTGCTTTCAAGTTATTAAGTGATAGTCTCAGATCAAGATAGATTTATCATTTACAAAGCAGGGCTTTGTGTCTTGAGATTTCCCTGTCCATAGAGAAGATACAGAAGATACACAGTGTGTGACAAGCCTGTTCTTTCTATTCTTGATATGTCACGCTTGTTGATGTGCGCAAGCAGTGGTGAGCCTCTCCCAGGTTTTTAAGTCATTTTTGTTCACATCTTTCTACTGTTTGCACACCCAAAGTTGAGGACATTTTCCCCTTGCTGTAATGGAGCAGTAAGCAGCCTGGCACCCTGCCTTCTAGGGC